AAAGAATTAGGACCACTTGGAAAAGTTACCCTCTTGCTGCTTAAATATTGCTTAAACAAGGATATTGATCCCATTTGACTAGAACATAATAAAATTTTTGAAGAACAAATATTAAAAAAAAACACATGCAGAATTCATAACAAGATTAAAAAATAATTGGTACAAAAATACCTCAAGGTTTTAAATGACAGAGACTTCGGTATCAGACTGTCATCAAAAAAAGCAAATGTCAACAGGGTGCACTGCTACACACTTATAGTCCCAGCTATTTGGGAGGCTGAGGCAGGAAGGTGGCTCAAGCCCAGGAGTTGGAGGCCATCCAGGACAASGCAGCAAGGAAAAATACCAAAGGCAAACATCTTCATAGGTCTAGGCAGCCCCACTCCACTCTCAACTGGTCAGCGCTTCCTAGAGTATTCTGATTGCTTCTGAATACTAACTTRCACAGGTCAGAGAAGACCCAGCATGATCCAGGAACTACACGCAGGTGAAAAAAAAAATGCAAAGTAAAATCACAGGGCTGTTTGTCCACAAGCAGGAAAAACCTGGATGGGTGGTCATGATTTCCATCTTGAGTAACTGATAGGTTTTAATGTGGGTTGGATCAAGGGTGTGAGTAGAACCAGTGAGAAAATTTGGAATGCAACCACCATTTGGCCCAGTTATCCCACTCCTTGGTTTATATACCCAAAGGGCTTAAAATCAGCATACTATAGTGATGCAGCCACTTATACCAGCYCAATTCACAATAGCTATGAAACCAACATAGGTGCCCTTCAAYAGATGAATGGATAAAGAAAATGTGGTATATATACATGATGGAATACTACTCATCCATAATGAAAAATGAAATTATGGCATTTGCCAGTAAATGGATGGAACTGGAGACTATTATGCTAAGTGAAATAAGCCAGTCCCCCMAAAAACAAAGGCTAAATCTCTCTGATATGTGGATGCTGACACATAATAAGGATRGGGGAGGGAAGAATAGTAGTTCATTGGATTAGACAAAGGGGATTGAGGGAAGGGAGGGGSATGAGAATAGGAAAGACAGTAGAATGAATCAGACATAACTTTCCTATGYACATATATGAATTCACAACAGTGAAATGCCACATCATGTAYAACCATAAGAATGAGATACAAATTAGAATAAGTTATACTCCATATATGCACAATATGTAAAAATATGCTCTACTATCATGTATATCTAAGAAGAACATATAAAAAATTAGAGAAAAGAAACAATGTAAGRTTTTGTTTCAGCATTGAGAGCATTTCTATCGATCACAGTTGTCCTCAAATGAAATGAGCCATCCTGAGAGGTAATGAGCAAYGTTTGTTCAGGGACATCTAACAGAAGATGATAAAGGGCCTGAAACAGATAGCCTAATGGACATCAATTGTTTCATTTCCCCCTTCTTCTTGTAAGARCACCCCACTTTTTCTTGGAGAACTACTCCTCACCTATTATCAGTCTCATGTGTCAGTGGAGTTGAGTGTACATCTAACCTAAGGGTCATCATCTTTCCCAAGAGCACCGCATCTCTCTGGCTGCAGGTGTGCCTTCAGGAACCCTCACATAACCTCTGCTGGGCCAATCAGAGCCCAAAAGCCTAATTCCAGGAAAAGGGACTTGAAGCCAGTAGGATGAAAGCCTGGAACTGCTAGAGGCCAATTTGGTCATGGGGATAGATTAACTTGAAAATGTTCCTCTGCTATCCAAAAAATGAAAATAGAAATTGAAGCAGAGTTGCAAAGACTGAGTTCTGATAATACCCTTTGTTTTCCAGAAGCCTCCAACCCTGAATCTCACCCCATAAGAGCTGGCAAGTTCTCTTTCTTTCTGAGAGCAGGTGGAGCCGGATTTCCAATGTCTGCAACTGTAAGAGTCCTGGTCACTTTGTATGGCCTCTAAGATCTTGTGCATGGCTGATCTTCATCTCCCACTCGAAACAAGCTCTAGGAGCATGGGCTTCTAGAATTTAAAGAGCTGCCTCAGAGCAAATGGAGAATCACAGAGAGGTAGGTTATGAAGTCGGACAGATCCTGCCTCTCCATTTCCATTTCCTGGGTGAAAAAACAGACTCAGAGAGACTTGCCCCCTGCTAGTGAGTAAGACGCAGTTCTGAGAGAAACTCCAAAAGCTCAGCCACACTGATGAGAGAGGCCAAAAGCCACCATGTCTGGGTTCTCCTTGAATTTGTCCAAGGCCCCAAACTGACCAGAGCCAGGCCTCCTTGGAGATTCTGAGGGCCATAGGAACCCTGGGTACATAAGGTATACAGGCCTCAGTCCCCAGGTTATATATAACTGAAGCCACACAAAGGGGCTGCACTGTGCTCAATCTGCCAGCCAGGCTCTGGTCCCAGCTCTCCCAGCTATAGGAGGTGGGTCATTTCCTTTGTTCTGCAGGCACAGACCTGGTAACAAGGCACCCAGGAGCTCAGCTGTAGACTTTTTTTTATTATTTTCCACCCTGTTAACCTCCATTACCAGTCAGGCTCTTGTCAGCCTAAATGAGAACTGAAAAGATTTATCTCACTTGTCCTGGGGCTCAGCTCAGGAAAAAGACCCTTCATTTCCTGAAGGCCCTGATGACCCTTTCTCTGTGAGTCACTCCCACCCAGGGACAAAACTGTGACAGCAGCGGTGGGTGGGGGCTCCTAAAGGGACCACGAGTCCAAACTGGCAGATGTCCGAGTCAAGTCAGTGGAGTTGTGCAAAGCACTGTGGGATTCATTTTTTATGGGTGTGCTGTATTTGCCTTCCTAATTATGTTTGCTTACGCAAATATTAAACCTAGACCACGTTTCATAAATATGGCCCCAGGAGGAGACCAGAAGCACACTGTGTGACAGGAGAAAATTAGCCTGTGACTGCAATTTTGCTATAGAAGTAATCCTCAAAGTGGACAATGCAAATACAGACCATGGAGAGATGATTATATTTTAAATCATCTTGTTCCCTTTCCTGTGCTTCTAGCAATCCCAGGTCAACAAATCCCTAAAATTGGCACCTGGCAAGAAGAGATGAGCTAGATTATCTTAGAAATAACTGTCACTTGTGTTCATATAATTAGAGCCAGTTTTTACAGGGTGCTGCTCTCCATGCTGACTTGGTGCCCCACCCCCTGCAGCTGCTCTGGGGTATTTCTATCCTCATTTCATAAATGAGGAAACTGAGACACAGAGAATTCAAGAAACAAGCCAAAAGATGCACAGCTAATAAAAGATCAACCAGAACTACGAATCCAAGAATTTAAGAAACCTAGACACACAGGTCACACCATAAAGCATTCCAACAATGCCCCTGTCCTCTACATGCACCATTTGTTTAATCTACACAGTGTCCCTGAGAAGTGCTGATTTTTAACATCATTGGATAGACAAAGAGGATGAGGCTCACCGAGACCACACGATGGGCCCATTTTGCAGGTGAGGAGAGCAGTGCTCACAGGAGTAAGTTCAATTCTACACACTCAAGTGCGCTGGACACTGTATAAAGAACTAGTATACAGGGACATCAGGGAGTATAACAGTGACAGCTCCCTTCATCCTTGGTATCTGGATATTTATGTGGGCAAAGCCTTGCCARAGCCATGGGGCACTCAGTCAAAGGCCTTGAAAACAAACCAACTTTTGATCCTAAAATTTCCATTGCAGAGACCAAGCAAGCCTAAGAAAGTACCAGTGGACGCAACAAAGCAGCTCACAGCAGCGTTATTTATAAAAATGCAATGAAGGAAATTACGTAAGTGCTCAACACCAAGAGATCAGGCAAATAAACCAGGATATATCTATGTATAAAATATATGTAATCATTCAAAATGTCACCAGATGAGGTGACATGCCTGTAGTTCTAGTTACTGGAGAGGCAGAGGCAAGAGGATCACTTTAGCCCATGGGTTTAGGACTAGACTGGGCAACAGAGCAAGACCTCATCTCAAAAAAAAAAAAAAAAAAAAAAAAAAGAAGTTACAGGGCTGGGGATATACTTCAATGGTAGATACTTATTTAGCATATGCAAGGCCCTGGGTTCAATCCCCAGTACAGCCAAAAACAAATTATAGAAATTTATTTATTGGGGGGCTGGGGTTGTAGCTCAATGGTAGAATGCTCACCTCACACATGCAGGGCCCTGGGTTCCATCCTCAGCACCACATAAAAATAAACAAATAAAATAGTGGTGCTGTGTCCAATTACAATTAAAAAATAAATATATTTTTTAAAAATTTTATTTATTGGGGTACTGGGGGTTGAACTCAGGAGCACTCAACCACTGAGCCACATCCCCAGTTCTATTTTGTCTTTTATTCAGAGGCAGGGTCTCACTGAGTTGCTTAGTGCCTTGCTTTTGCTGAGGCTGGCGTTGAACTTGCAGTCCTCCTGCCTCAGCCCCCCAAGCCATTGGGATTATAGGTGTGTGCCACCAYGCCCAGCTAAAAATTTACCTTTTGACATGGGGAAATTTTGYAATGAATAATTTGTTAGGTGACATGAGCAGGTAGTAATATCATATATGCAGTATGATCTCATTTGGGAAAAATGTATATGTACACTAAAAAATACATAAATTATAAGCACTCCTAGAAAATATATTTGCATATGTACTTATAAGGAAAATTCTAGAACATCAAAGAGAATATCTCCCAGTGATAACATTTCCTCCATGTTTGTGTGTGTGTGTGTGTGTGTATGTGTGTGTGTACTCATCTGCCCTTTTCCAAATCCTGCACAATGCATATATATTACTTACCTAAGCAGGCAAAGGTTTGTATTCTTCTGATGGTGACTGCTAAAGTGCTCAAGAGCACACAGTTTTTCAAAGACACATCTAGGGTTTAAACTCAGGGCTGGAGTATCTGATCAAGCCCTTGGCCCCTTGAAYCCTTCAACATAACTGCCACCCCCACTCTCAGCCCCTTATCCCTGGGGCATAGTGTTGCCATGACCATCCCAGGACAAGAGCTAGGGCTGCGAGGGAAGCCACTTGCCCACCTTTTTGAAAAGTCTGATAACATCCTCGCTGATCTGGGAAAGGCGGACGATGACATTGTTCATGAAGATGTCATTAAGGGTGGCATGGTCTCGGCTCTCCCGCCGGGTCTGATGCAGGACCAGATACCAACAGTTCACAGGTGAGAGGAGGTATTGGTCCTTCCTGTAGAAACCAAGACAGCTCAGGTTGGCTTCATGGGAACAGTTTCATACTGTTTAACATCATACCCACCTTGGCCCTTTTGGTCCCTGGGGCACCCCTTCAAGGTCAGTTACATTATTACACATTTTACAGAGAGGGAAACAGAGGCTATGAAAGCCTAGATGATCCTTCATGATCACAGAGCAGATCTAGGGCCAGAATCCAGGTCTTTGACTAAGTCTATGCTGTCTACTTCCCCCTTGAATGGTGCCCACTGGCGCACCTCCATCTTCTAGGAGGAAGCCTGCTCCCCTGGAGCTAAGAAATACTAACYCGGCTGTATTTGAAATATTTGTATGATTTCTAGAACTATGCAATGGAAAGAACAAAAAGTGGACACTTACTCTCCCCCTCTTTGCCTTCTCCAACCCCTGGGATCCCCACAAAGGATTAAGAGCAATCCTTTGTTCTTCTCTGGGGATCTCTTGGCTTCTTATAAACAGGAGCCTTCATCCCTTGGTGGAACTGGAGGGAGAGGCCTTGGGGGTTCCAGTTCTGTATTTTGGGGGAGGACTTAAAAAATACAATCATATGCAAGACAAATAAGACTTTGTCCTGCAGAGATTGATAGATTTTTAGCACTTAGCTGGATAKTATGCTAAAATAGGGGGTGTCAAAATACTCCCCATATCAGCAGCACGGGTACCACATGGAAAGTTATTGGAAAAACACATTCTGCAGCCTCACTCCAAGCTTGCTGAATCATAAACCCTGGGGATGGGCCTACAATTTACAAACCCTACAGGGGATTCTGATATATGCTCAAGTCTGAGAGCCACCAATCTATACACCATTGCTTCCCAAACTCATGAGACAGAAGATCTACATATCACCACTTCCCAAACTCATGTCTTGTGTCTACACCCTTAAGAAAGACCTTTCTGTTCTCTCTAGGATAGCAGAGAGAAAAACAATTACAAACCAAAACCCAAATCAATCCACCTTATCACAGGGGGCATCTGTGCTGGAGTTCTTGTCCTCCAACCAAGTCTTGCTCTTACTCTGATTTCCAGTGTGGAAAGAGATATTGGAAAGGCAGGATATGAGTATGGCCTAAAGGTGGTCAGCTCCAGAGAGTCCAAAGGCCTCCCTGATTCCCCTGCTATCTTGAATGCCAACCACCCTGGAAGCTAGCCAAGGTTCTGCTCACAAGAAATGCAGACTCCACAATCAGCACTTTTGAGGAAGAGAATTCTGCTGACTCCCAGCGTGACTGCATCCTCTGCTCCAAAGCCAAGTGGAAATGCTAAGAGATGCACCCTATGGGTCTTTGGGATGCTGTCCCCACAACTCCTGGGGCTTAAGAAAGTAAATGAGGATGGCTCAGTTGACTTTAAGGGTTTTTTATTTCTGTCACCAAATAGGCTAAAATTCTTTCTAGGCAACAGGATTTGGGAGAAGAGAATTCAGTTTAGATGAAAGATGCATATGCTAGGAACTGTCTAAGGAAAAAGGAAGAAGATGAAACACTTAAAACACACTGCTATAGAAGAGAGAAACAGGTTTCTCCTTATAGCCTAGAGAAAGAGCCAGACCACTAAAATTCAACCCCAGCCAGAATCCCCGAGCATTTGCTCCATGGCAGATCCTGGGTAGGCTGTGGGCACCCAAAGATGACTGTGATGCAGAGCCAGCCTTGGAGGGGCTCTCCAAGAAGAGGCTAAGGCAGAAGAAAAGAACGAGAGAGGCAGGCAGGATGGGACCTCAACAGAGATGCAGATGGGGCCTCGTTTCTGCTGGAGAAGTTTCAGGAACCACTGTGCTCCTCCCACATGCTCTGCACATCGGGTGTGGAATCCCTTTTGTATTCATGCAAGTACTTTCCCACCTGGACCTTCACATACACTGTCCTGCCACCTGGAATGTGCCTGCCCCTGCTTCTCTCACAGTCACCTCCTCCTCTTCCTGTAGATTCAGCTTAAACGACACCTCCCTAGAGAGAGTTCCCTGATCACAAGCTCAACATGGTTCTCAAAGTGTGGTCCCTGGACCAGCAGCATTAGCATCACTTGGGACCTTGTTGGAAATATAAGTCATCAGGGCCACCACAGACACTTAATCAGAAATGCTGGGGGTGGGCCAGGTGGGCCCAGCATCTATGATTTAACAACCCCTACAGTGACTCTGATGTATGCACAAATTGTGAGAACTTCTGGACTAATGTCTGGATCTTAAGTATCCCCCAAAGGTCCCTGTGTTAAAGGCTTGAATCCCAGTGTGGCATTAGTGGGAGGTGGTGGAAACTCTAAGAAGTGGGGCCTAGTGGGACGTCTTCAGGTCACTGGGAGGATGCTGGGACCCTGCCCCTTCCTCCTCCTCTTTTCTGTTTCCTGGCTATGAGCTGAGCAGCTTTGCTACACCATACACTCCTGCCATGAGATGTTGCCCCTACATGAAGCCTAAAAGCAACGATTTGTCTAATTATGGATTGGAACCTCCAAAACTGTGAGCCAAAATMAACCTTTTATCTTTCTAAGCTGATTATCTCAGATATTTGTTACAATGACAGAAAGCTGACTAATATATTCTACCTTTCATTTCTACTCATTATCTTCCTGGGTGATCTTTAAGGGCAGGGATTGTTTCTGTTGTAGTCACTTCATCTTCTGCCTGGCAACAAGGATGCCACATAGTAGATGCTATGGAAAAGAGACCCTTGAGAAAAGGTCACATTTAAGCTGGGTCTTGAAGGATGGGTAGGAGTTTTCCAAATAGTCACAAGGACAGAGAGAGCATGCGATATTGTAGGCAGAGGGAACTGTGGATATAAATATGGTGAAATGTCTCAGGAGAGCTGCAATTCTGAGTATGCTAGTGGAAGATTGTTGGACACAAGGCTGGGTGAGAGCCTGATTAKAGCGGGTATGGAATGCCAGGCTGAGGAGTGGGAACTTTCTCTCCTAGGCCATGTGGTTCTGAACCTTTCCTACACAGTAGAGTCACTTGGGGAGCTTTTCAAACACAAAAACCAATTAAGCAAGAATCTCTGGTGGTAGAGCTTAGTATTGATATTTTTTAAACACTCTTTAGAAGAGTCTGAAGCAGGCAGACTGGAGGATGGATGGGTGGATGAGTGGGTGGATGGAAAGATGGACAGATGGGGTAGATGGGTAGGTGGATGGGTAGGTAGGTGGGGTGAGTATGGGTATAAATGTGGGACTGGAGGCAGGAGGAACTGTCAGGAGGGAATCTTAGTTCAGATGGAGAGATGTGACAAGGCCTGGGTGTTAGCACTGTGGCCACTGAATGCTGGTGAGACTTTTCAATAAGAGAACAGACCATCTTGGAGTCTTCCTGAAAACACAGGAGAAGGAGGAGGAGGGAGTGGATGAGACTGTGAGGTTTGCATAGCATGTGACTGGGCGGATGCTGATGACATGATCTGAGATAAGACCTGCAAGGAGAGAAGTAGGAGTAGGTTTGAGCAGAAAATACTTTTGTCTATCCCATTCCTTACAGCTTCCAAGGTGGTGATGGAAATGGAAAGATTAAAGGAGAGATGAGATAATTGAGCTGTTACCTAAAATGCTCTAGGGGCTTAGCTCAACTTAGAATGCAGGAACTGAACAGCATCGGGGAATTCAATGTGCAAAATACATGGAAGTCATAGCCAGAAGGTAGATTTCAGAGGGAAGGAAAAAGACAAGTGATCTTGAAGAGGCGTGGTAGTACTGGGACAGCTTGAGGACTGTTAATTAGGTCACCCAGCCAAAGTAACGTAAGCAGAGAGGCAGAAAGGAAGACTAAACTATAAGAGGAGGAAATTATTTTGCAGCAACTCAAGACTTGTCAGGTTGAAGAGAGCAGATGAAAGGTCTTCATTCATAAGATTTTCAGAGAAAGAAGAGAGAGAGTATGTGTATGTATGTGTGTGGGTGGGTGCATGTTGGGTACAAATGAGTGCTGCAATGCACCTGCCCCCCCAAGCCTTCCACCTGAGTAGGAGAAAGATGCAGGAAAAGAGAGTGTTGTCATAGGAAGGGGGCAGTGGAGCAGAGAGCCAACTCCCCAAAATCTGGAGGTGATGTGGTCATGAATGGCTTCTTGGAGGAAGCACTTTCTAGACTGAGAAGTAAAGGCTGGGTTGGAGTTTCATAGGAAGAGCTTTCTAGGTAGAGAAATACAATCATCAAAAGCCCAAGAAGAAGCAGGAGGGCATGTTGGTGAGCTGAATGCAGCCGAGGGGATCTACAAGTGATGTTCTAGAATGAGGTTGAGGGTGACAAATGAGGTTGGAGAATTAGGTGGATGCCACATGTCTGAGGGCCTCTATATCCCATTATAGAGTTGGAGCTTCATTGTGAGGTTTGCAGGAAGTCACAGAAGGAGTTAAAGCTGGGAAGTGAAAGGGTAAAACCATATTTGCAAACCTTCACTTCAGTACTGTGCAGAAGAGGGTGGCATCCAGGTGCCCAAGACAGAAGTGGAGGGATAGATACGTAGGTAGTAAGCTGATTGGATTTGGGAGATTGATTGGTTGGGGTTGGGTTGGTAACTGAGTGAGAGAAAATGATGTACAAGATGACCCCCCAGTTTTCTGGTTTGGACCTGGGGGGAGCAGAGGGGGCCTTTGTTGGGACAAGAGCAGGTCAGAGGTGAGGCAAGAAGAGAAGATGGCAAGTTCGATTTGAATGTGACAAGTCTAAAGGACTATGGAACATCTAGATGGGGGCCTCTGGGCTAAAGAGAAAAATGTGGAAGCTGACCGCAAGTACTTGCATGATTTGCAAAACCACAGAATGACAAGGGACACTTTACAAAGGCACACAACCACATTGGAGGATGAGGCAGATCCCCAAGAAGCCTGGTGAGGCAGCAGCTGGAGGGAGGAGGTAGGACCAGGCTACCATATCTCCACCCCTGCTGGTGACTTGGAAGAGGGCTAGGAGGTGACAATGAGCCAGCTTGTCCTCTGCAGAGATGCTGTTCCACACCCACCATCCAATCAGCAGGCCCATTCT